TGGGGTCACTGGCAGCCACATCAACCTAACCTAACCTAACCTAAGTAACCGGTTTAAATACAAAAGTACTTAAGTATGTCCATCACTGCCTTGATGAATAACGGGCCAGCAGTGTAATTCTGTATGACTTCAAACCGTCTACTGATATTTATCTGTGAAGATTGTCATTTAGGAATGTCTTAGAACGAAAACCCATTTACCTATTAAGGGAGCTGTAAAGTTTTCCGTGATCTAAATTCCAAAGCTCCTCTTCATTGCAGTTTTTTACTACGCTTTAGACTAGGCTAGTAGAATCGCGATCCGGTTAGTCAACCTAATGCATATTCTCTGAGGTCTACCAAAATACGCTCTATTCGGGGCATTCGCTCTTATTTCAAAGTTTCAATATTAGAGAGAGCTTAAATGCCTTTCTTTTCAGCAACTACCTGGCAATAAATTTTATTCGTTGTTGTTCAAAAAACCCACAATTTGCAAATGAGCGAACCCTGTTCAAGTAAAAAAATATAACTAACATTTACGTTGTGTGCTTGCAACGTATGTATATGTATGCGTATATTTACTAAGTATTTTGCAAGCTATTAACGATCTTTATAGTCGTGAAAGAGAAAGGTGTTGTTGACATTTTATGGCTAATTCAACTGATTTAAGATCTGTTTCTACAGTAAAGCGATTTCCGTTTGCAATAAATAAAGCTAAATAGCTACTTTTATTTCATGGAGTCATTGTAGAAGAAATTGGGCGCAAAAGGCGAGGCAATAAGAAAATAAGAAAATAATGCCACTTACATTAGGATGAAGCAAAAACGTATGTAATTAAAATTAAGTTTGAAAGGTCAATGAAGTATCAGTCGTAAAATGAAATGCCTAAGCACACAAAGAGGCATATACTACTTAAGTATTTAACTAGCAATACATTGGATACTTTTTATAACACTTTCCATTTTCCTTATTTGTAAATAATTACCTTTCAACGAACTGTTACTATTCATGCACATCGGACACTGATCGTTACGAAACATACAGGAATAGCAACGCTCATGTCCACAGGTATCGATCAATTTCCGCCGTTTGCCCTTGTCGAAAGAGATGCGACAACTGGGGCATATCGTACCGCTGCTGTCGTGCTCCAATAAGCGTCGAATCGATTGGAGATCTGAAATTAGTTAGAAGAAAGCAATGCAAATTAGAATACAGATTATTTAGGTGAAACAAAATTTAAATGGAAGCTTTAAAAATGCTGGGAAGTTGGTTGTCAACGAAAAGTTGAAATTTTTTTTCAATTTGAATAATAGTTAATTTATATTTAACTATAAAAACTGTTAGGTTTTTGAAATCTATTATTGGCATAAAAAGCTATTTTTACATTCTCCGCATTATAGCTGTCCGAATTTTCGCGCGTTGAGTCAACGAGCTTCATGCATGAAAAGTGTGCTTAAGCTCGGAGTCAACTTTTGCTATTATGGAGTGAGCTTGAACTCAAGAATTTGTGAGGCCCAATGACTCAATATCCTTTTAATAAGTCGGTTCAGAGAAGGGATTCAATTGGGTTGTAGCACTTTAAGTGTTGTCCATTGTGGTACTGGAGCCGCACAGCCAGCATACAGAGCTGGCGAGTGCTGAGAGTTGAGGAGCACCAATTGCAAAACGCTTTATAACATAAGAAGTGTCAGTGCACTAAAGCTCATAATAATAAAGAGCAAATTAATAATTTCTTCTTCTTCAGCACATCCTTCGAAACTCGTGCTCTTCAAGAGCGGAAATTGCTTTCAGTCGTTTATTTTTCCCTCAGAATTCAAGCGCATTTTAATGCAAATTTAAACTTCCTTAGAAGCCAAAAAAGGTGGAAAATGCATCTAGCTCAGGCAAAAATAATAATAATGATCTTTCTACTCTTTGCGTGGGTACGGTAATGGGATAGAGGAAGAAACACGTTTAAAAAGAGTGACTACTTAAATAAATAAAAAAGTATTTAGTGCGCGCAAGAAATGCAACTCAACAAAATATAAAAGAAATAAAAAAATTTTTTGAGAACGCCGGCAAATTTTGCAGCTAGACTTTTTGACTTCAAATGCATTTTTTTCGGGCAATTTTGCTATATAAATTTTTGTTTATATTTTTATGCTGCAAATATAACCGGTTAGCAAGCTGCATGCTTTGTGGCCCACGCAATTATATAATAAAAAAAACATAGAAATAAATATATTCAAACACGTTTGTATGTATGAACGTATGCACATTAGACCGTAGCACCTTCCAAGCAAAGAAAAAAAGTTCGCCAAATATCCCTGACTGTACTATTTTTGCAAGGCAATTAAAAAAAAAAAAAATGGAAACCAGCGCCGTTTAACATTTTTCGCAACATTTATTGATTTTTGGAGAGCTTTAATTTACTGACATTAGGGTGGTATGTTAGGGTAATAAGAACTGTGATCTGGTGGGTAAGTACTAGAACGGAGTATTTGCGGTCAATGAACTTTGAAACAAAAAAATTGTTTCCATTGGACAANGAAGAAAAAAAGTTCGCCAAATATCCCTGACTGTACTATTTTTGCAAGGCAATTAAAAAAAAATTTGGAAACCAGCGCTGTTTAACATTTTTCGCAACATTTATTGATTTTTGGAGAGCTTTAATTTACTGACAATAGGGTGGTATGTTAGGGTAAAAAGAACTGTGATCTGGTGGGTAAGTACTGGAACGGAATATTTGCGGTCAATGAACTTTGAAACAAAAAAATTGTTTCCATTGGACAAGAACGTCGATATATCGAAGGTCAAGATCCGACTGTAAATACTGAACATATGACGAGCAATGTAAAAAGGCGACTGCTACGTTAGGGCAAAAGCTTTTTTTATTGCTTTGCAAAAATACTTTAGACATCTGTCTTTCAACTCATCACAGTCATTTGAAAGANACAATGTAAAAAGGCGACTGCTACGTTAGGGCAAAAGCTTTTTTTATTGCTTTGAAAAAATACTTTAGACATCTGTCTTTCAACTCATCACAGTCATTTGAAAGANAGAACGTCGATATATCGAAGGTCAAGATCCGACTGTAAATACTGAACATATGACGAGCAATGTAAAAAGGCGACTGCTACGTTAGGGCAAAAGCTTTTTTTATTGCTTTGCAAAAATACTTTAGACATCTGTCTTTCAACTCATCACAGTCATTTGAAAGACAAACGTCTTTCGTAAGCCAATTATCAATTCTGGCAATTCTCTTAAAAGCTCTTTACTGTCTTTCGAAATACTAATTGAAAGATCTGCTAACGAGGAGGTCTTTGCGTTATGCTTTTCGGCTTTTAGCAATACGTTTTTTTTTAATTAATAAAATTAAATAAAAAATATATATGTGTAGATATATTTCTTTCTTTCTAAAACAATAGAATCTAATAAATAAAAGAAAATTAAATGTAAAAAAGATAAATAAAATAAAATATAAACAAAGCAAAAATAAATAATTTTTTTTAAATTAAATGAAATTAAAATATAACATATTTTTCATTTTACAACAATAAAATCTAAAAACTGAAGGAAAATTAATTTATAGGAGAAAAACTTAAACGAACAAGGAAGAGAATAGTACCTACTTAAAAATTAAATGAAATTAAAAAAAGTATATATATTTTTATTTTTGAAACAAAATCTTAAAATGAAGAGGAAGTATAAATAAAAAAAGACAAAAGCAAAATAATATCCTAAAATATAAATAAAATAAAAAAAAAATCTTTATAAAACAGTAAAATCTAAGACGAAAAAGAAAACTAAATTGAAAGAAAAAAGAATTAATTAAAACTATACCACTAAAAAATAAATAAAATGGGTTTCTAAAAATTAAATGAAATTAAAAGAATATATATTTTTATCTTTAAAAATAAAATCGAATTATGGTAAGTTTAGATTAAAAAAAAAAGACAAAACAAAAAAAAAAACGCTGGCTGAGATTTCGAACCCGGATCTCTCGAAAGGCACAGCGGTACTTCCCTCACTCGGCCATTGCGACTGTTGGAGCGACGAGACCTAAAAGTGATTTTGGTCAAAAGAGCTTTTCACCCTGAAAGTTGGCAAGCGACAAAAGTCTTCCGAACTGTTTTGCCAGGAAACTTTTTTTCTGGTACGATCTAATGTACACATTTGCGAAAAAAAAATAAATTTGAACACCTCCAGCCAAACCAGCTCCAGCTGAGTAGTCAACACGATTGGTAACTAAGTGTATAAATAAATTTGTATACATGTAGACCTAAACTTGGTAACCCCAAATGCAGTTTTTTTTGTTACCACACCATTTAACGCCGATTCGAGTGCGCACACACAAGAGAAAACGAATTGAAATTGCATTTAACAAAATATGAATAGAAATACGAAGTTACAAAACACGCTGCATTTGAGCCATAAAATTTATAATCTTTTCTTATTTTTTTGTGTTTTTGTAAATCGTTTTATTCTCAAGTGCCTTAGCATGAATGAAACCCACACTCGCTATACACCAACTACACCACCACATTCAACGCAAAACAACAGCAAAGTTCATTCAAAAACTCGCCACGGCAACTTCGAATGATTGCTACGCATGCGTGCAATATGCCGCGTCGCAACCGGACGCAAAGATGCAGAAGTGCTGCAGCAAAAAAGTCATCAACCCACTCGAAAAAAAATTGTGAAAATAAATTTTTTTGTGGTGCTAATTTTTTTTCTTACTTTATGCAATTCTTGTAATAATTTTTTTCGACAAATTCTTTTTTTTACCATTCAAATACAAGCGCGTGTGCGCGACGTTTACATCCGTTCATACGTCCGTCTGTTTGTAAGTGCGTCCATTGCAAGTACTTGTTCAAACTACGCCACAGGGCAGAACGTTGCAAAGTCGATTTGCTGATTGTAATATTTTTTAAAGTCTTCATATGTAGCTGTTGCAGTTTTGTTCACTGCTTTTGTTGTTACTTGCGGCGGCACAAGTGCAACGCTGTTGTGTGGGTAGTTCGCTAGGTACTTGCAGCAGCTGCGCGTACGTTTGTGTCTGCTGCGTCTGTCTGTCGCTTATGGTCTGTAAATGTCATTTATGCGGGTTTTATTGCGATATCTTTGAATTATGCTGGCTGCTAGAAGGTTAAGGTTTCCCCTCCCACTGTTTGTTGCATGAATTTATGTAAATGGCGGAGCGTTAGGTAGGCTAATGGTAAGGGAGCGATTTTCTGAATGAAAAAAAGTAACATGGTATTCAAGTTACTCAGGCCTTCAGTTCCACACAAATTATGTTTGAACTTACATCCTGGACGTATTGAGAGAGCTTTACAGTACAATTCTAGCAGCTGTCTTTCAACTCACCTCAGTTTTTTTCAAAACAAAAGCCTTTCGTAAGGCAATCGTCAATTCTGGCAAATATCTAGAAAGCTCTTTACCAGTGACGGCCGCGTGGAGATTTAACAGGCATGATCAGAAGAAGTTTCAACCTATTTTCGTCCAGAATGCTTCTTTTATGCTTCCTATACATTTTGTATAGGCTCGCGCACATTAAAAGCTCTCTCTGCTCATCGCTGTGCGCGCGTCCATATAAGATTTATGGAAAGTTTTAAAAAGCTCTGCGTGGAAAAAAGGCAGTGCCCATAGGTAGAAAGTTATCTCTGGGCAACGAAATTCTATAAGGATTTTTATTATTGAGAGATCCCTGCGATGGGGTGTGGAAGTGTATATCCTCTCGGAGAGTCAAGTATACCAAAATACTCAGTTTCACAAGTCGGTTAACAATGATTTAACACAGAGAAGTTATAGGTCTTGGCCAAGTTGGTCCCATCTTTGAAAGCGACAAAGTACGGCGATCGGCAGAGTCCTTACAATAGTTATTGTACTTTTTCCAAAAGCTCCGCTTCCGCTTTATTTTCACCGAAATCGAAATTTACTTAGAGGCCAAAGGCCTTTTAACCTAATTTCGATGATTCCACAGTTTTCTAAACGAGGACTAGACAATAGTATCTCATGGCAACACATTCGCGGTTTGGGACACACGTCATTGTTGCTTTGAAGTAGTGAAGGATTTTGTCACATAGGATCCAGCATAAATACCATGAACAATATCAGCCTGGAGATCAAGCGAATAACAGATCTTGCCAACAGGTGCTACTTTGGGCTCGGCAGGCAAGTGAAAAAAGCACAGCA